ATTGGGTTTGGAGCACCGCGGAGGGCGCAACTCACGCAATTCGTCAAGCTAATACCAAGGTTAAAGCGCAGATTTCTTTATTAATCTTCGGTTTATTTTCTTACTGGATTAAAACAAAACACAGATCAATTGTTTGAACATCAAGAATAGTGTTTTAAGGGAAGCCCTGGTTTGATGTATTCAATTTCTGCGCACATTGTCAAAGTCAACTTTAGTTGAGCAGTAGGTTCCAGCATGTAAATGACTAAATTTAAAGACCAAAAAAGACGATTCTCGATCACACCAATTAACGACATTTTATATTTAATACTTACTTGATAACACATTTTTCGTGTTTCACGCGTCATACTTTATTGACACAAGGTTTCATTTTTTCATTACAAAGTATTACTATATTACAAATCACTAGAAATACTAAGATTACTATATTTTCCTTATAGTAAAAGTGCGTTTAAACATCGCTATCAAATAATAAATATCACCAAACATAACCATAAATTAAATTGATATGCATATTAAGAAGAAACCTTTATTAAACGGAATGACACACTAGCAACTTAAATATTTAAAAATAGAACCCCAATATCATACTCAATCATATGTAATCATAAAACCACTGTTTAAACAAACGTATGATTGTCGTAGCCCGTGCGCCTGTTCAAGTTTGCATACACAAATTAATGAAATGTAAAAAAGGCACAAACCTACAAAAACGGTAAATCATTAAATCACAAACGACCCATGCACCTTATCTATAATGTACTTTGCCGTTTTTATCATGGTGGAATTGCAAAATAAATTATTTTAAATAGTTTGTAGTTTCAGAAAACACACTGCCAGAATGACAGCGCACTATTATTCCACGTATTGTTGTTGTTCTAAAACAAATGTACAGATTTCCCCCAATCGTCATTTTGTTAATCGACTTATTTAAATGAAATGTAGTTGCCATTAAAGCTTCGAAAATGGCATATCGATTATATTAAGTGGTACAAAACGGTGTCTGAACTCGATTCGCCGCCATTTACTTTACCACGGATTTCTCTTGCAAGAATAAATCGCTATCGCATTCCTTAAGATTATGAAATTTTACATGTATTTTATCTGTTAGTCTAAAAAACAAATTACAACTCTCAGAAGCACTACCATTATATTTCCCAGTAACACGACAATGATATCTTACTCCAATATCACTATTGTTTATTGCACATATGACATATTTTACAATTATTATCAAACGTCGAATAATATAACAAAAATACCATAAACACCTTGACACACAACCAGATTCTTACTGATATAAGTTTTATTAAATTGAATCATGTCATGAATCATACGATTTTTGTTAATTCGTGACTGAATAATACCCGTTCATAATATCTTTTATACGGCATATTGTATTTTGTATCATCTACAGGTAATGGTAGTGGACGCGTAATGCCGTCTCTCCTCATAGCTCTGCTGGTGGTGGTCATTGCTATATACACGATGTAATATAACATCACAACGAACGTCTAAAGTGCCGCAATGTTGATTACAATTAGTCGAAACTAGTTCTTTTTAGAAAACACACTGCCAGAATGACAGCGCACAATTATTCCACGTATTGCTGTTGTTTTAAAACAAATGTACAGATTTACCCTATTTTCATTTTGTTAGTCAATAAAGTATTTGCAAGAAAAATATTATATGAGTATTTTAAACATCTCAATAATTCTTTGATAGACATTTACCTTTCAAATTATTGAATGCTTGCTTTGAACGGTTCTCCAATGAAAGAAATTTGAATGCACATGAGTCAATTGCACTACAAAATTAAGTACTTGTACATGTCAAGGTTAATTACAAGAAATGTTTCTATATTTTTCACTTTATAACCAGTCAGCAAGTTATATTTTGCAAAATGAGTGAAATTGCCAATAATGTTGCATCCCAGATTTTTTTCTTCTGTGACCCAGGTATTCATATGAATTACACCAAAGAAATAATGGCCTCTTCCACTTAGAGGATACCTAGTAGGCCAGACTCAATGAGGTATGTAAGGAGGATGTTCCACAGATACTTCCATAACATACACGAAATACAGGGTTTATGCCACTCTTATCCACAGTTTGTTCTCACATATAGAGATTGGTAATTTTCACAGTTTGTTTCTTATGTATATTAATTATACCCGATAGTGCATATGCAGATTAGCAATCCATATCATTTTCTGAACTTAGAGTTTTGTCATGAATTTGTTTTCGCGTATCTGTTGACCGACTTAATTAGTTGATTACGAGCGAATTGCTGTGTTATGTCTGTCATCGTTTAGACCTATTTGAAGTTTTGGACGGAACTTGGCTCAGTGATTTGGAACTAATTACCAGATAACCGTCGCTATTCTGACTACTCATTCTGACAGTTGGTATTCGTAGTTATTAATGTAGTGAAACGATTAATCAAAAGATATGACGTATTCAGTACTTAGTGTGATTGGCTTTATGATTGAAGGTTACGCCCTAGAGTCTTTTTACTGTTTTGTAATAGGTTAGAGTTTTGAAAATGAATAAAGAGAGTTTGAGTTGGTCTTGGGGAGTACAGCAGAACAGACGCAGTCCTGGAGAGACTTGGGGCGACCTTTGACGCAGTTTTGGGCGAGTCTTGGGTCAGCCTTGCGGTAGTCTTGGGGATTTTTCCCCAGGGCGCTGTGTCTGATAGAGTGCTCGATTGACCGACTAAGACGAGAGCTGAAACGTATTTCGTTGTGTGTGTCTATTTGACTGAAAAGTATAAGTGACTTTCCCGATCCCGCACCTCAAGAGGACGAGATATAGAGACGAGACGAGTTTTCCCCCTGACAAGTGTGGAGAACCCCGAGAGAAGAGAATATTCCCCGTGATAGTTTGGCTAAATTTTTAAGGTAATTGACAGTTGGCCAAGCTAGGATCGTAAACTTGACTCTCCAATGAGTAGCCAGTATTTTATACTTTACATGAAATTTGGTTAGAATGGCTATACACATGTAAACATTTGAGTACATTAACATCTCTGTGTCTGTTTTACGGAAACTAGCATGTTGTGTTAGCTAAAAAAATGCATGTCATATTTATAGGAAAAGGGGGGAATGATGTGACGGTGTACGTAATTTGTGATATTATATACAAATGTCATATTACGTCTTGCTATTGTAACATCGGTCATAGTTGAAAATAAATAGGGCACCTACGTTTAAAGTTGCATTCTGATCTGTTGAAAATATTCGAATCTTATCTGACAAATCTTAAAAAACAAATTTAGAAAGCTCTTCAAAAGCAAGTCAAACAACGAAGATTTGTTTCGATTTGATGATTAGACACAACTACATTCAGTGCTGGCTTGCACAGTGATCAACTTTTGCCAAATTTATTGCCAAACTAACTAATTTTATAAATGTGTGTGGTAAACACAATGTAGTGGGAGTAATCTGTATTGATGGGGGTGGTGGATTGACGAACATTTCAACGACTGAGGGCAGTATTGCATTAGCTAACTAAATACGTAACAGATGTAACATTCCGTGTTAAAATATTTTTCAGGTGTGACCCTGATAGAAGTAAACACGGAAACAATAATGGAATACAAAACTGAGTACGAAGAAAGCCTATGTCGATACAGCACTCAAATTTATCCGTAATTGGATTATTCACTAGTGTGATGGTGCTTGTTTCGGGTTCTATGTTGAATCCTTCATCAGTCGGAACAGTACTTGACCGGATCGTTCGATTAAATTAGCTTTCAGAATGTTCGACGTTATTACTTTCATTATACAAATTAGTTAAAATGGAAAGTAATTCTTCGTCGTTTGGTGTGTCGTTTACCCCCATCAATATAAGTAGCAATACAAATTAAAGGATTCTTGAAATGTTTGTAATACCTACAAATTTGCTATTCATCATGCAAATTAAATAATTAATATACACATATTTTCACAAGGCCTGTAAGTAAAATGTTATGACACATTCAAAACATCTTCACCAGAAACGTTATCTTGTGTGTTGGTTCACTATCACCAAATATTTACAATAATGCAATTTAATATAAAATGCAGTAATTTGGGACACCAGTCTATCAAAACGACACAATGGACTTAGAGGGTATGTGTACCAGCTACACGCACACAATAACACAACAAAACAATGATTATCATTTAATAGTACTGATTTAATATTTATTTTATTATAATACTAATCTAGCAATGTCACGTAGTATTGACAATAATTTGTGGTCATATTATGTAATACAAATAATATTTATCGTGAAAAACAATAATGTGTACTAATGACGTGTCATTTCAATTACCCATCATTCAACAGGTGATGTCTGCCCAACATATCGTAACTACTGGCAACTACAGCCACAACTCCAGTACAGACTATCCAGTTATTTCAGATTTTGAATGTACTCTTAGTTTCCATGGAGACTTCTGACCTGAAGTGACGAGTGTTGCGTGTTAAACTGCGATAAAGACTTTCCGTTTTCGACATTGTGAAATTTTTTCGTTTTTATGCAAAATCATATTTATTATAGTTATTATTCATACATAAGTTGTTGAACATACTACATTGTTTGTAATTACATTCAGCTCCTTTCAGTCATAATTCAAGACAAATAAAAGGCAAAAATATTGAGAATATAGCATATTATCTTTTTTCTGTTAAATTCTTATGTAATCGGTAATTATGAAAATTAGGGAATACATTTCGTTATGAATTTCTTTAATATAAATTTCTGAATTATCTTGTCAAAATAAGTTTTTTCAGGTTTTTTTCTTCCGGAAAAAGAAAAAATTCACAATGTCTTAAATGGAAAGTCTTCATCGTAGTGTTGTGTGTTCAGAAAGTTAAA